GTATGTGGTATTTCAAATAAGCCTGAAAGAATAAATCAAATCTGGGGGGAAAATTGCTTTAGAAATGCAAAGTGACCCAACAGTTATTTTTATGGCATCTGGTAGTAACGTTGTTAATTTTATAGCCACATTTTAAAAAATCTTATTCACATTGTCAATGACATTGTATATTGTAGATTTTTTTTTAAACTACTAAAGCATTGAAAGAGGAAAATAACCCCACTGTTTGAGTGGACTAACATTTTGATGCACTTGTTTTCTGCGTAGTTTCAACTGACTACGTCATTTTGTATCCAGGGTTTTTCAGTTAAGATGAAAACTTAAACTTTTTCTCATGTTATTAAAAAAAATTGTGGAGGGGCACTTGGGTGGCTCAGTGGTTGGGCTTCTGCCTTTGGCTCAGGTTGCGGTCCCAGGGTCCTGTGATCGAGTCCCGCATGGGGCTCCCTACAGGGAGCCTGCTTCTCCCTCTGCCTGTGTCTCTGCCTCTCTCTGTGTCTCTCATGAATAAATAAAATATATTTTTTAAAAAATCTGTGGATGTGGTATCTTTAATTGATGCATAATAGAACACTATAAAGATATATCAATTTATGTATCAATTCCCTTATTTCTATGTATTTAGGTTAAGGTGTCTCATCTTTCACTATTAGAAGCCTAAGATAAACTGGTTAGTTGATGTTTTCCTTTGCCTCTGTCCATTTCCTGCTCTGTGAGGTCCCTAGGTCCTGCTGTCTCCTCCATCAGCCATGTGGTTTGGGGAGGACTGATCTAGCTCCAGGAGTGGGAGCCATGCCTTTGGCTGTGGAGGTCGGTTCAGAGCTAGGCATATAACCACTTAAAAAAGACAATACATTTCCATGACACTCTTCATTCAGAAATTTCATTTTCAGAGTTAGAATTACTATATGTGGCACCAAAGTATCTTCTGGTGCACCACACTGCATCACATAAACATAGCCATAGTACACAGTTCTAGTTCAGATCATTCAAGGTCACAGTGAATGTGATTCAAGAAAAATAAAGAGGAAGCCTGACCTGTTTGGGGAACAGAAAGGAAAAGAAGGGGGCTTATCTGGAGCTAAGAGAGAATTTACGTCCAGAGGAAAAGCTGGTGAAACAAGAATCAGCATATAAAAGGAAATATATTAAAGTTTAGGGTATGTATATTTCAAAATTGTTCATTGTGTTCATATGTTTACAATTCTGTGACAAAATAGGACTATTCTGTGGATAAGAAAGTTCTCTGAATTATCAAATGTCAACAGAACTAAAATCCTCAAGAAAGGGATGTTGGTTAAGTGTCCGACTCTTGATTTTGGCTCAGGTCATGATCTCAGGGTCATGGGATCAAGCCCCGACTTGGGCTCCATGCTGGATGTGGAGTCTACTTGAGATTCTCTCTCTCCTTCTCCTTCTGCCCCTCCCCCTGCCCTCTCTCCCTCTCTAATAAATAAATAAACTCTTAAAATCCTTAAGAAAAAAACCTTTTACCTGAAGGTTGATGAGTGTTTGTTCTATATACACCCCCAGCTCCTAAAACTTAAACTCAAGAACTAAGAAAGAAAGAAGGTAATCACTAAGGAACTTGAAATCAAGGAAAGTATCTACTGCTACCAGAAGAGACATATCCAGTTTGTGGCTGTGCAGAGTCAAACCAAAGGCTGAAAGACATGGTCATACTCTTGTGAGGTTTGAATGATTTAGTGAATCCTGAAATCTTCAGGTATTTGCCAATAAAAAGAAGCCTAAATGAATAAAAGTTCATGGATCTCTGCCCTCTGACCAAGTGACAAACAGTGCTTGGTACAGGGTGGGCTTATGGGAGTTTGGGAACTCAGAAATCACACTAAAGAAAATTATCTATGAACCAGCGGGGGACAAACGAATTTGCCTGTAATACAAGGCTCTACACTGGTATGCACAGAGACTTTTTTTTTTTTAAGATTTTATTTTAAAGAGACACAGAGAGGGAGGCAGGCAGAGACATAGGCAGAGGGAGAAGCAGGCTCCACACAGGGAGCCCAATGCGGGACTCGATCCTGGGACCATGGGACCACACCCTAAGCCGAAGGCAGATGCTCAACCTCTGAGCCACCCAGGCGTCCCTGCACAGAGACTTTTGATCCACATGCAATGCCGATCAAGGCTTTAATTTGAACCCAGGTCACTTGACACAGTGTCTACAGTACAGTTACCTGCTACAATGGCTGGCAGGTTGCCATTGTCTTATATACCACCTTCTGAAACATTGAAAACCCTCGTTAAAAGTAGGTGAATACACATATTTGAAGTGGCTTATAAGAATACCTATAATAAATTAGGAAAATACCAATAAAGCAGGCCCAGGAAAACTATAAATAGAAGATAAAAGCAAAGGAAGAGGCAAGACATGGCTATGAACGCCCTGTGGATCCCCTCATTTCCTACAATGACCTGCAAATTTGGCTTCATGACAGCCAAGGCCCAAAGTGTAGCATGAGCACTTACGGCAATGATTTGCATTGTCTGTAAGAAATAGGTATATTTGTATCTTTTGTGGGAAGGTGGAGGAAGGAGTGTTTCCCAAATATTAATATTTGGTAACTAATTAGTTTTGAAGGTCTCTAAGCAGCCATTATAACAATTATTACTTTCATTCATATGGCACTTAAGGCTTTGCAAAGTAATTTACACACATTCTTTAATTTGCACAAAAATCCTGTGATGCAAGATTTGAGGGGATGGTATTTCTCGTTCACGCATCAAGGAACCCTGCCTCCCTGGAAACACGACACAAAAGTAGAAAATAAGCAGAAAGATCTCCGAGACAACAAACCAAGTGGCAACAAGCCTATGCATAGGAAGAATTTCTCCCTCAGAACCTACATCCCCTGACTTAGCCTGAAATTCTAACATGCATAGTTTCCTTCCTAAAACCATAGAAGGTTGAAAGTTAACAAAATACTATTACAGACAAGCACTCTGAAAGCCCCCCCCCCCGGCCCCCCGCAAAGCTAGTATGTATGAAAGCAACCTGTGGTATAGAAACTGAAAACCCTCAACATTCACCAAGAAGCATAAGCAGGGATGTGTTAAGAGGTCAGGCCTGGACCCTGACCCTCCAAGAGTCAGTTGTTCATGCTGTTACCTCACCAATCTCTCAGGAAATGAAATGACATCACGGCCACCCCACTCCCAACCCTTACGGCCTTTCAGTGACCTTCCAAGGCTCATAAAATAAAATCCTTATTTAAAATGGCCCACAAGGTCCTGCAAGTTCTGGCCTGCTTCCTGCGTCTCCAACCCGTGTCACATCCCCTCCACTCCAACCCCAACTGCCGAGGCTGCTTCTGCACACTTTCTTCCACCTGGAAGTGTCTCACTGCTGCCTCTCCTGGCCAAACTGAAAGGGCATTTCCTTGGGAAGCTTTACTCAATCCCGGAGTCTAGATTAGGTTTCTTTGTGAACCCTTAGCACCTTTGCATTTGAGAACTGATCACAGTAGCATTTAATCATGAGTCTGATTGTTTGACCCCTGTTTCCTCCAGGGTGCTGTGAGCTCTGGGAGAACAAAGCCCAAGGCTGCAATACATGCAGAATAAATATTTACTGTAAAAGAAAAAGAAGAGTACGTAATGTCAAAGGACAAGCATGATACATTTTCCCCGGTAAATATTTCAATTTCACCACAAGATCTTTTTGGGAAGCAAGAAGCTATTATTTTATTAAAGCAAAAAAAAAAAAAAAGATTCATCATGGAGTAGAACGCAGAATTCACATGAATTTTAAAGCTAAAATTCCAGGAATGCTTCAGCCTATGCCCCCCCCCCCCCCGTCCCCGATTTTTCTCCAGGCATTGTGCTTAAAATAATAGGGAAGCACGGTGTGGCAAGAGATCCATTTCCCCAGGGATCTAGAGAATCAAGGCTCATCTCCATTTTACTAGATGAGAATGAGTATGAAAAAGGCTTTGCAAATCATAAGGCACTGTGCAAATATAACATTATTACTGAGCAATGTGTCCCGAAGACGGGGGGTGGGGGGGAATGGCTGGTTCGTGTTGTTCCGCCAATTACAGGTGAGGCTGGCGCCAGTTCCCGGGTCTCCCGGGGCCCGTCCTGCCCACCGCTCTTCATTAACGCGCAGCACCTGCCACCTGCTCCCTCCCTGCTGCAAAGGTCCCCTCCCTCGCAGCCGCCTCTGGGGCCGACGCCCTAGGGCCACCTCCGCTAACACTACAAGTTCTGACCAACCAGGGTGGAGAAGCGGGCAGGACGCGCAGCCGGGCGCTGGCCGGCAGCGTAAGGCGGGGGCTTGTCGCCGGGCCCCCGGGACCGGGCAGGTTGCCTCCTGCAAAGCCGACCGGCTCGCCCCCTAGCGGCGCAGACGCGGGCCGGCCGCGCGCCCCGCAGCCCCGCAGCCCCGCAGCCCCGCAGCCCCGCAGCCCCGCAGCCCCGCAGCCCGAGAAGCGCAGGCGGCAGGCCCGGGCCGGGACGCGGGAAAGCTCAGGAGTAACTCAGCAAAGAGCATCCGCCGCAGCGGGGCCCCCGAGGCTGCCGCCGGGGGGGGGGGGCGTCCCCGGCAGGCCCCGTGCGCCCGGCCCGCGCGCGCCGGCGGAGCTGGACCGGCGGCGGGAGGCGCCCCCGCGGCGCACGCCCGCCCGCCCGCGCCACCCACCCACGCCCGGGGGCCGCCGCCGCCCGCCTCCCGCCGCCCGCCGCCCCGGTCTCGCGCGGCGCGTGCGCGCGGGTGGGCGTGGGAGGCCGGGGCGCTACTAGCGCCGGCGTGTGCGCGCGCGCTCCCCCGGGCGCCCTCCCGCGCAGGCCGGCCCGGCTCGGCTCGGCTCGGCTCGGCCCCGGCGCGCGTCACGAGGGGCGGGCGGACGGGCGGGCGGCAGGGGGTGGGGCCGCCGACCGGAGGGGCCCGAGCGGCGGCTGCCGAGCCGTAGCCGGAGCCGGGCGAGGGCGGCTGCGGGCCGGCGGCGGCGGCGGCGGCGGCGGGGGAAGATGGTGGCGCTGGAGGTCGGAGCGGCTGGAGCGGAGCGTCGTTCCCAGGCTTGGCCCCCGCGCTGTCACTAGCGCCGCCTGCTCCCGCGGGCCCGCGGACCCAGCTGTCAGGCAAGGTAGCGGCGCCGCGGAGGGGTGCGTGAGTGGGGGCGCCGGGCGCTGATGCTCCTTGCCCGGGGGGCGCCCCGGCCGCGGAGGGGCTGCGGGAACAATAGTGCGGATGAGCGGGGACAGCCGGCGACGTCCAGGGGCAGTGCCTCGAGCCGTGGAGCCAGCCGGGCGGGGGAAGGGGGCGCCGAAGGCGGGGACGCCGGTGTCCGGTGCGCGCGGGGATGCGGGGCTTGGGAGGCGGCGGGCGTGCCTGGCGGCAGTCATGGAAGGAGAGTGTGTGTGTGTGTGTGTGTGTGTGTGTGTGTGTGTGTGTGTGTGTGTGTGTGAAAGGTACGGCCCACCCAGGGGGTGGGGGTGGCGGTGGCGGACCGTAGGTGTTGGAGAATGACATTTCCAGGAATCCCCGCTAGGATCTCTCATCCCTCGGCCGACTCTCTCTCCCGGAGGAAGAGTGTGGTGATGGCAACGATGGGGCGGGCAGGATGCACTTGGTATGTGTGTGCGGACAGGCGGTGGGGTAGGTGCCGATTTGTGAAATCCCGTGCGTGCGAGTGTGTGTGTGTGTGTGTGTGTGTGTGTGTGTGTGTGTGTGTGTGTACTCGTGTGATTGCCTCCACGCTCCCCGCAACTGCGCTCCCAGCCCAGAGATGTGCAGGTGCCCTGACTTGCTGCCACCCGCTGACTGTGGGACAGTGTTTGTTGTTCTGACCCTGCAACTCTGAGTACAGTCTGTGTTCTGCCCTTGTGTGAGGATGGGATTCTCACTTCCCCTTTCTCTGGCTTCTTGACATGGGGATGTGGAAGTGTGCATGTGGTTTTGGGCGCATGGCAGGGAAATAGGACGACGGTTACCCCCTCCTGGGCTTGCGAGCCTCCCTGGATTTGAAAGGAGCTTCTATCCTGTGACACTTCTCTCCTCGGCCCCGTGAGGGTCTCAGATGCCCTGACTCTGCAGTTTCTATTGTTTATCTCTTGTCTGACCTTAATGGCCACATTCATCTCTCCGTCCCCACAACTTTGAATGTCAACTAGACCTTCTCCTTCCACATTCCAACACTGAAAACCTTATGGCTGAAGAATGGCTGATCCTTATGTTGCTTCTTGTAGAATGAACTCCGGAACTGTCTATAGAAAGATGGGGTCAGGGGGAGTATTGAAGAAGAAGAGAAAGATCGTTCTGGCAGATGTTTCGTACCCCCTTGGTCAGCGTCACGCACAGGCAGGGCGTTTTCCTAAGGAAAAGGGATACTTTATTTCTACTGCTGGTGTCATCCACTCTTCCAGTTCTCACAATGGCTAGGTGGTGCCATATGTCGTTCACGAACTGAAATCTCCTAGGACCCATCGGAGATGGGGTCCTGGGTTGGTGAAGTCTGCTTTCCTAGCCAATGTAGCCTGATAATAGAGAATTTGAAAAATGTCAGGCTGGCAATAAGTCATCCAGTGGGAGCCAGGACACAGAATTGCATCCAGAGTCTATAGCTGTTTAATTGTCTCTGCGTGATAAAGATAGGCTTATGTGGGTTCGGGTAAAGATAGAGAGATAGCATATTCGTGTGTGTGTGTGTGTGTGTGTGTGTGTGTGTGTGTGTCCACTGCAGTTTGACTCCCCATCGACTGTATTTCTCCTGCGGTATTTGTAAGAAGGAATGCTCCTCTACGCTTTAATATCCTGATACTTCTTTATTAACATGTTGTGTGACTAGATTAACCTGCTTAGAACATATTTAAATCACACCTTAAATTCTGCAGCATTGCTGTCAGAATCCAAACTGGCTGCTCCGATCCTCTTTGAAAAGCCTGTAAGCAGTCATGGCTATTCAAGTAAATATGTAACACGTTGGCCTCAGACGGTTCTTTCTCTTTTTCTATCCTAAAAAAAATTTTTGTTTTGTTTTGTCAAAGGTTGCATGATATTGTTGTTACATTGAAAATAATGAAACATGCGCTGTGCACATATGTTTTTTTTCTTCCTGTTTATCTTCTCTTAATTAATGGTGATATATAGACCAGGTGCTCTTGAAACTATGAACATTAAATTTCCCCACGTCCTTCAGTCAAGCCTTCTAAAATTTTAATGTGAGGTTGTTGGATCTCCTCCAAGATTTAAGGATAGATTTATAAAAATGAATTTTGAATCTCAGTTCTTTACTCCATATTATTTCTGCCAATGTCTTTCTGAGAAAAGTGCTTATGGAATTTGAAAAGCATTCAAAGAGGTTCTGTGTTTTTTTCTTTAAGTTGTCTTTATATTTGTAAGTAAAATCCAGAGACGTAAATGTCTTACAGGAAAGTTTAAGAATATTAGAAATTGACAAGGTAAATACATTGTTTAGAAGAAGAGTAATTATACAACAACACAGTTGATGACTCAGGAATTAGTGATTTCATTTCTATTGTAAATGTGATGGTTTAAAAAATACAGTGCCTGGCTTTTCCAGAGATTGGACTGGTAAGTTTCATAATATAAGCTTAACTCCTATAATTCACTCTGGTAAGCAGTTGTACCTTTTGCTGTAGCCCACAGCAAACCGTTTGTTTTGTGTGGATGCATGTTCTTCAGTTAAAGCGCCATTAATGCTTTTCCATTATTGGGTCTGTTAGAGAAGTTAGTTTTTCAGAAAACTTGGAAGTAAAAGACATTTGAAAATTGCCCTGTGGAGCCAAAAGGAATATACTGTGGTACTATGGGGAGATAGGACTTGTATCCTACAAGGAAAAAGTAATTGTTGCTAAAACTGAGACTATGGCAAGGACTAGAGGCCAAAGTTAACCCTTAGGGTTATAATCATTAACTTACAAATATTTAATTGACCTACGACATCTTGGTCTCTGTGTACCTTTGGATAGAGTTTGGGAGATTGGGAGGACCAGAGATGTGAAGAATAAGGAGACTTAGATCCTGCCCAGAGGAAATTCATGTCCCGGAAGGAAAGACAGGGCGTACAGGTAGCTGACTATAAAAATGGTGCAAAATGGCTTCATTGCCCAGAACGCTGTGTTCCTTCATTCCTGTAGGTGTTCATAAGATAAAACAATGGCTTCCAGTAAAAGAGTTGGGGAAGGTTACATGGAAGAGGTCGCATTTGAGCTGGGATTTATACAGGTGGCATTTGGGCTGGCAGGGAAGGAAAGGCATCTGTGAAAAGGAGTGAGTAGCAGAGACTTGGTGATGGGAAGATGCGTGCTTGCAGAAAGAATGGTGTGCTTTGGAATTCCACAGGGAATGCCAAGGGCTATAATGAGGGGTCAAGTGAGAAAGAGAGGTCTATCCAAGGTTATGCAGCACCTTGTATACAGATCTCATTCAGTAAGTACCAGGGAGTTATGTTAGGTTTCTGAGGAAGACGATTGACAGGATCAGAATTGTGCTTTAGGGCAATAATCTTGTAGCGTTTTGCTGGACATAGTACAATGAGAAAAGACTGGTTATAGGGAGACCAGGTAGAGTCCGTCATCAAATTAGGGGTAAGAGGAAATGAGACAGTGGGAATGAGGGGAAGAGACAGACTCAGAGACTGAGATAGGCAAAATTTAAATGCTGAGCAGAGAAGTCCCTGCTGGGGCACCCTGGTGGCCCAGTAGGTTAACCATCTGCCTTCAGCTCAGGTCATGGTCCCCCGGGTCCTGGGATCAAGCCCCATGTCAGGCTTCCTGCTCAGTGAGGAGACTGCTTCTCCTCTTCCTCTGCCCCTCCCCCAGACTCATACTCCCCTTCTTCCCCCTTAAATAAATAAATAAAATCTTAAAAAAAAGAAGTCCCTGTTGGGCTCAGCTGAGACACTGTTTGGGTCCTTGTCAGAGAGGAGGTTCAGAGCAGGATGAGGAAGAGGAGAAAAAAAATAGGTTTCATTCTGGGCATGACAGATTGGTCCAAAAAAAGGGACTAGAATACGGGGCTAGCTTTTCCAGAGAGAAGTTAAAGCTACAAAAAGAGATTTGTGACTCCTCTACTTGGGAGTGATTTTGTTGTCTCAGAAACGGCCAATGGAGAAAACAGAGCGAAACAAAGCAAAAGGTAAGGGTAAAGATCCTCAGGGCATGTCTATATGTTGGAGGGGAGAAGAGAAAGAAGAGGATAAAAACACAATTAAAACAGGGGAAGCTGGAGCAAAATGGCGGAAGTCGTGTGGTGTCCTGGCAGCTGGGAAAGGTGGGAGAGCCACCACCATTAACACATCATTCGTATAGTACATCCCATAGGGCTGAGGATACAACAAAGGAAAAGCCACTGGACTTGATTCCTGGCTTTCCTTAATTATCTTTGAGGTAAGTGGAAGTGGTGGCCAGGCTGCTAGGGAGGGGTTAAAGAGTCAGGGAATCATCCCTGCACATGGAAAGCAATGAAGATAGATTTCCTTTTAAGTAAATTGGGTGGCAAAGGAGGAAAGAGTTTGATGCATCAAAGAAATGGCATACTATAAAGTCATGTTTTTAGCATAAGAAGACTCAAGCCCACTTATCACAGGAGAAGAATCCATAGAAAGGAAGAGAGATTGAGAAAGTAAGAAAGAATCTTAACTGATAGAATCAATCTTCAAGAAGGCAGGGGAAGGACTCTTGAGACAAAAGCATGGGGATTTTGAGGTAGAGAGAATAATTTGACCATCATCTTCTAAATAAAGTCAAAGGACAAGTGGGTAGGTTGAAACCACCAGTAGAATAATGACTTGGGTATGCCTTGTGGAAATGTAACAATTGAGTCAGTTAGGGACGAATAAAAGATTACCATTCAACTTGAAGGCCTGCTGCATTTGGAGAGCATGAATTTATAGTGGAACCAATTAGCCCTATATAAGCAGAGTTCGAAAACTACTTATAGGGATCCCTGGGTGGCGCAGCGGTTTGGCGCCTGCCTTTGGCCCAGGGCGCGATCCTGGAGACCCGGGATCGAATCCCACCTCAGGCTCCCGGTGCATGGAGCCTGCTTCTCCCTCTGCCTGTGTCTCTGCCTCTCTCTCTCTCTCTCTGTGACTATCATAAATAAATAAAAATTAAAAAAAAT